TACTACTATGGCAACAGAAAACACCTTTGAAATTAACAATACAGTTAATGCATCTGAAAGTCCTTGAATGCAGTGGAAAAGGAAACAATATTAATAATGCTGACTTAAAGGTTAAATTAAATATTGTCAGTCATTATTATATTTTGATGAATATTTTCTTTCATCATAATGTTTTATTAGACAAACTATTGTCAGCCATTATTTGTTATGATTATTATTTACAATCATCTAATTCAGGGGTTCTCTACAAGGAGGGGAAATCTTTCACTTTTTCTTGTCTATTCACAGAATTTTTTTTATTGAATTACAATACCCTGGCATTCTATTGAACTTTTTCTCTGTTGAAATTTACTTCAATTTATTTGTTTAATAATTAATTACTCTACATGCATTCAAATTTAAAAATCAATCAACAATTGTATGACTCCTCTATAAAAATAATCCATCTGAATAAAGCAGGTTGGGAAGTGACATTCTGACGTATGGTGAAAAGCACCTTAATGGTACCTCATTTCAACCAAATATCCTGTCTGTGTTCAGAAAATGAGCAAGAACTTTGCTAAGAATAAAATTCTTCTATGCAGCGTGTTTCCACAATTTCCTGTGCCTTGTAGCTTTAGTAAGTTTTACTTTTCGACTTATCTCTCGTAATCCCTGTTATGCTAAGCATTTACACAAACTTGTTAATGTGGTTATGTGCTACTTTCCTCTATCCCTGTGAGTATCAAATTTTTCATGCCTTCTTTCCTCATTATATGCCTGAGAAATTTAAAGTATTTCTAATTCTAAGTATAAGTTTCCTTTTTCTTTCCATTTTCTCTAAAACTTTGTCATTGATCACATGTTATTCTCAATATCCTTCTGTAGAACCACATTTCTGTTGCCTCAAGTCTCTTCTCCATCTGTGAACATATTTTCCAGCATTCACTGCCATACAAGAGGATTGATATTACATAATAGTCCAGTACTTTTTTCTTTGCTTTTAATGAAATTTTCCTGTTTCTTAATACTTAGCTTACCTTTTGGAAGCCATCTTTTGCTATCCTAATGAGCCTTCAGATTTTAGTGTTGCATTTTCTATCCTCTTTCATCAATATTTAAATTTCTGTATTTGTTTGACATTTGGCCTCTCCAAATTGTGATTCATATTATTGGGCTGTCCCTTTTGCTAACAACCATAAATTCTCTCTTCTTTCAATTGTATCCTTCTGCATATCTTATGTTGTTAGTATCATGACCACAATAATGAATCCTGGTAGGACTTCTAATACTCTCAGGATTGCTTCACTTGAAAGGTTGAATAAATTTTGTGAGAGGATGCATCCTAGTCTTACACCTCTTTTTATTTTTGTATATTTACTGAATCCATTTTCTATCTATATGCATTCAGGATTGCTGCCAGTATAGGTTCTGGATTATTCTAATATTCTTTCCAAATAAATCAAGCTTACCTATCAGTTCAAACAGTTCTTTTGCATAATCTATAAAACATAGGTATACATCCTTTTGTATTTGTATTGCTCTTTCTAATATCACTCTGAGCATAAATATTGTCTTCCTTGTTCCACTGTTTTTAAAGAAAGCATATTGTTCTTGTCTTATTTTTGTTTTAATTGTGATGCAGTTCATCAGAATTCAGATAAGTTTTTTTATGTGCATTGTAATTGTCTTGAGGCTGGTTCAAGGGTATTAAGTACTGACAGGGGTCTTATAATTCAATCTGCACTGGTTAAATGGTAACCATCATATTTTGGAGGTAAAAATAAAACTAGAGTTGCTGTACGCTTGCTTAGAAAAGAAGCATAGTAGGTCTAAGTTCAACTCTACAGTCACACTTTATAAAAGAAGTTTGATAAGACTTGTAGCTACTCTCTAATTCTTGTTAAAGAGTATACAAGGTACATTGGAACACATCAGTCACCTTTGAATTCTCATGCTATTCTAGGCATTTTTTTGTATTAGCAAATGCAATGTGAAGCTTTTGCTCTTCTTTGTTTCAGTATTTCACAGTGTTTGTAGGAACAGAAATAAATGCCTTTTTCAAGCATCTGTCGATTCTTAGAGTTGTCTTTACCAGAAGAAAAACCTCGGAAGTGGCAACATTGCTCATTAGGCCGATTGTCTAATTTGTTTGCACCTGGCATCTTAGGCAGTGCTATAAAAATGAATCTACTTAAGTCTTCCAGTATATAATTGCTGTTGTATATTCTGTTTATTTTATCTGTAATCTGCTCAGTGCCGAAAGCATCTAAAGCTGAAAGCATTTCTGTTACAATTTCATCTGTTTCTTCTGGTTAGTTCTTGTTCAATTTAACCAGAGTGGATTTCACTTTAGATTTTAATATTTCTGGCAATTTATAATTTAGCCAGAGTGAATTTCACTTAAGATTTTAATATTTCTAGCACTTTATAATTTAGCCAGAGAGGATTTCGTTCCAGATTTTAATATTTCTGTGTATTATGGGTGGTTCTTGTTCATTGTGGAAGAATTATCTGATGTATTCATTACATCTTTGAAGTACTTTTTTCTTTTTTTTATTTTCAGTGTTTTGTTCTTTGATTTTAACTACAAAGATTGCTTCTAACTCAAAACAAAAAACAAGCAATAAAACCAAAATATATTATCAATACTATCATGAAAATTATCCCCACCCTGAAAAGGGCCAAAGTTCTTTAGGGAAAAATAAACACTATGGAGAATTTCACCACACACTCTTCCTAATAAAAAATGAAAGGAAAATAGAATAAAATTGTTTTTAGTGGATAATTTTCATATTTGAGTAGATGTTTAGGCACCTGAAGGAAGGTAAAAAAAGGTGAGCAAACTTGTCTTAAAAAAGAACATTTTATGACTGAGTAATGAGTCTGATCCCCACTTGGTGCCTCATACTTTTGGCCTTGTGCCACATCTGAGCTAATTGGAAAATCACTATTTGAGTAGATGTTTCTATTTATTTATTAAACAGTTATCTTTATTTATTTGGAGCTACCAGCCTGAAATCAAGAAAATTCATTAAAGAAATATGTGCTTTTTAATATGATTTTTCAAATATTCATTCATGCAAAAAAATAAATAAATATACTGTTTAACCCATTACCTGCAATGAGCCCCATTTGGGGATTTGTTAAAATTAAACTCACTACATGTTATTCCTTGTATTTACATTGAATTGCTTACATACATTGCATTTGCAGAGGTATCTTTTACAACACTTAGACTTTAAACTTTTTATTATTAGTTGTAAAAAGACATTGTCGTAATTTTACATTTCGCGAGTAGAAAAATAATGACTATATTGAAAAGAATTTTATATTATTTCTAATCAATATTATTTTTTATCTTTTATACACATATACAGGGTGTTCAAAAAGTTCGTGGGCACTTTTAAAATTTATAACTTTATTTGTATTTGTGATAGAAATAATCTATAAAAATGTTATAAAGTTTAATGTACCTAGTTTTAAGTATAGCTAAATAACTAATGTGATTTCAGGCAGTTTACTGTAAATCAGAAACCAAATATTTTCCATAAACTGCAAAATTGTATTACTTTTTGTCAGGCTAATGATGGAGGATGAAACTTAAATAAAATTTCAATAAAACCTTAAAAAATATAGATTTACTTCTTTCTAATCATTTTTACAAATTATTTCTATTGCAAATACAAATAAAGTTATAAATTTTTTAAAGTGCACACGAACATTCTGGACACCCTGTATATTTGATTTTCTAGTTTCTATAAAAATGACAATGGTAACTACTGAAATTAAACATAAGTAATAAACTCCTAAGATACCTGTCTGGGCCAAAAATGTGGATTAAAAAATTTGGCACTTAATAAATGGAGAGTTTACTCAAATCTGATTATCCAATGATAACAATTTTTAAAGTGATGAAAATCTGTCAGATTAATAAATAAAAAACACATTATTTCCTTAGAAAATAAAATCATTGTATCTTATATATAATATTGCACAAACATACACATATGTATGTGTGCATGTGTGTGTAGGTGTATGATGGGGTGCTGACCCACCTAATAAAATCAGACCAAGTGACTAAATATCCTATTTTTTTATATCTCTTCTTTAGTTAATTCAGAAACCTCTAAATAAATTCTGGGAAATCTTTTCTATTTTAGCTTTAAAAGAGAACAAAATCCCACATTTGATATCACTTATAGTGAGTTAGCAAAAAAAGTAAAAAAAATTGTGGGGAGATATCACATGCCACCATTATCAGACAATTGGCCTATCAGCATTTCCTAGATGAGAGATGAACAATAAATACTTGCCCATAACTTAAGAAAAAAAGAAAAGTTTATATAAAAACTAAAATACTTTTGTCAAGATTCTATTTCAACACACAATTTTTGGTAAAAAAGTACCAAGAGCATTTCTTTACTTAAGGTAGAATTATGAAGTTGTCTAAAACGGTGAGAGAAAATAGTAAATATAATATTCAATAAATTTAATTTATTGAACTCTATATATAAAAAATAATCTTATATCAAAAAATCTTTTTTCTTTCTCACTTTTTCTTTCTTTCTCTTGTGCTTTTTTTCCCATTTCTTTTTCCCATACATTTTCCTTTTCTTTTCTCTTTTTTAGTGTGCAAGCATACACATAAACAAAGATATAGTGGGGAAAATAAGTATTTCATACACTGCTGATTTTTTGAGTTTGACATCTTAGAAAAATTGGAACAGTCTATAATTTTCAGGATAGGTCCATCTTGAAAGTGAGAGATAGAAAATAAAATTCTAGAAAATCACATTATATTAATTTTTTGAACATTTATTTCTTTTTTATTGAAAAAAATAAATATTTCACCCTCTACCAACCAGCAATATTTAGTCCCCACAGACCAGCTATGTAACCAGAAGTCATATAGACTAATCCTATTACTCAATTATTACTCCTAATCAAGTACTCATTACCTGTATAAAAGACACTAGTTCACAGAATCCTTCAATGAATCAGAATCTAATCTCTTCACAATGAGTAAGATGAAAGAATTGTCTATGGACATCCAGGACAAAATTGTATACCTACACAAGACGGGAATGGGCTACAAGAGGATTGGCAAGCAGCTAGGTGAGAATGAGTCAACCGTTGGTGCAATAATAAGAAAATAAAAGAAACACCAATTGACTATCAATCTTCCTCAGTCTGGAGCTCCACTCAAGATCTCCCAACGTGGAGTAAACCTAATGATGAGAAAGGTGAGGAAACAACCCAGAACTATGCGGCAATAGCTTGATGATCTCAAGGCATCTGGGACCACAGTCACCAAGATGACCATTAGTAACACTCTGTCATAGTGAACTGAAATCATGTAGTACCCACAAGGTTCCACTACTCAAGAAGGCACATGTACAGACCCATCAGAAGTTTGCAAATGAGCACCTGAATGACACAGAGGAGGGTTGGGAGAAAGCTATGGCCAGACAAGACTAAAATTGAACTTTTTGGCATCAACTAGACTCACTGTGTTTGGAGGAAAAAAAAGCTGACTTGGACCCCAAGAACACCATCCCAACCATTAAGCATGGTAGTGGAAACATTATTCTTTGGGGCTGTTTCCCTGCTAAGGTAACAGGACAACTACACCGGGTCAAAGGAAAGGATGGATGGAGCCAAGTACAGGGAAATCTTGAATGAAAACCTCCTTGCCTCAGCCAGGACATTGAAAATGGTTTGTGGATGTGTGTTCCAGCCTGACAATGACCCAAAGCATATGGCTAAGGCAAGAAAGGAGTGGCTCAAGAAGAATCACATTAAGGTAATGGAGTGGCCTAGTCAGTCTCTGGACCTTAATCCTTTAGAGAATCTTTGGAGGGAACGGAAGCTTCGAGATGCCCAATGACAACCTACAAACATTAAGGACTTGGAGAGGATCTGCAAAGAGGAGTGGGCCAAAATCCCCTCCCTGAGATCTGTAAAAACTCGGTAACCAACTACAGGAAATGTCTGGTTGCTGTGCTTGCCAACAAGGGTTTCTTCACCAAATACTGAGTTATGTTCTGCTATGGGGTGAAATACTTATTTTTTCAATAAAAAAGGAATAAATGTTCAAAAATTAATATAATGTGATTTTCTAGAATTTTTTTTATATTCTAGACAGTTTCTTATTTTTGTAAGGTGGCAAACTCAGAAAATCAGCAAATGAACTACTTATTTTCCCCACTGTACATATGTATTAATAAACAGCAAATAAATACAACTATTTACACACATAAACCTTTCTAAAAAAAAGAAACTATCATCTGGAATTGGAATGTACACCTCCCCAATTTTCAGAACAGGAGTAAAGGTTTATCCCTTTTTCCTGTTAAAGATTGGGTTTCTACTTCCTTCAACTCTATACTTCTGACATTGCCTGAAATCTGAAATTTTATTCAGTAATTATTATTATATTTCCTCTCCCAATAAGAGTCGATAGGTTTGCCTATTGTCCAGTTCCCAGTCTTTTGAAAAGGAGTAGAGGTTTATCATTTATTACCTGTTTAAGATTGGGTTTCCAGTTGGTTCTAAAGTCTACTTCAAATCCATAACATCTCCACTTCAACTCTGAAACTTTATTTGCTAATTAAATCTTCAAGTTTAGAATTAACTATCTTTCTTATTATCTTGCCCCTTTCTGACACTAATACAACACCACATAGTAATAATAAATTTAGTATTGGAGAAAAAGAAAATGGACATAGAATAGACTGTGATAGATGGAGTTTCATTCAACACAAACAATGAAAAATAGAGTCAAATAGTAGAGATAAAAGACGCTTGTAATATTGCGACTATTCTATCTAAAATGACTATTTTCTAAGACAAGAAAGATGAGAGATATCAAGGGCTTAAACCGAGACAATGAATATTCCCTACCCAAATTTCCAAGATATCCAGGTGTTCCAATATATAGGAAAGGTAAACCTTTTCAAAACAGAAATGAAATCAGTGATGGCCAGTGACATGTTGGTATTCATAGTTTGGATAAGAATTCTCTTGAACAGAAAATCAGCATCCTCTGTCAAGTGTTCCAAGAAATAGATAAACTTTACACAGATGCATAATAACTGCATAGAAAATCTATCTATCTATTTCTATTTAGCTATCTATTTCAGTTTAGGCATATCTATCTATCTATCTATTTCTATCTAGCTACCTATTTCAGTTTAGGCATATCTATCTATCTATCTATCTATCTATTTCAGTTTAGGCATATCTATCTATCTAGCTATCTATCTAGCTATCTATTTCTATCTAGCTATCTATTTCAGTTTAGGCATATCTATCTATCTATCTATCTATCTATCTATCTATCTATCTATCTATTTCTATCTAGCTATCTATTTCAGTTTAGGCATATCTATCTATCTATCTATCTATCTATCTATCTATCTATCTCAGTCTCTTCATTATCTGTCTCTCTATATATGTTCATATCTATATATGCCAATTTTTAAGGTAAGTAACCACCCCATTTATTCCAATTAGTCT